TACCTTAACTCAATCATGAATTATTAACATAAATGGCCTACTTAAGAATGTGTGTGTGGGGTGTGGGCGTGTGTGTGTGTGTGTGTTTGTCTATGTGTGTGTGTGTGTGTGTGCGCGTGCACACACGTGTGTGTATGTGTGTTTATGTGTGTGTGTGTGTGTGTGTGTGTGTGTGTGTGTGCATTTGGGATATACTTTTAATGAGAAATTCTTCCTTTCTTGTGGTGACAAGAATTACCTACACAATACTTTTGTATTCAACTGATGACATTCAAAAGATTCAGAGACTTAAAAACATTGGTTTCAAGGTCAAATCAAATTGGAGCCAATGATTCTTTATTCCATTTATAAGACCTAGGTAACTTGTCTTGGTAAAGGCACTACTAAAAATGCCTTTTCTTAGACAGGTAGTTAGAATACCATACAGAGCTCATTTTTGACTGTCAAAGCCAAAATTATTTGCAAGCCATAGATACATACAACCTTGTAGGCTGACACCTCACTTAACTGTTAAATCACCTAAAAGATTATCTTGTCTTTCTTTTATGTGAATTCAGGGGCACAAAGCTATTTAAAATTCTTTCTCTAGAGAAATTCTATTAGGAGTATTATATTTCTTTGGCAGTCCTAAAAGGAACTAGCCCAGTATTTTAACATCATCTTTTTAAAGCGACTTTGGATTATTCTTTAAAAAGTTAGATTGAAACCCAAGAAACAGAATATGCACTAGGATATAGCATGATTTTACCAGGGTTCTTCTGTAGCTCAAAGTGTTCTTTCAAATCTGTCTGGTATCTAGGAAACCACATTGTATTAGCATAGTAATATTCAAACATACAAGAGACTGGTAGGTAAAAACACAAATAGATTGTACTTCACCTACTACTACTCTGCGTATCTGAATATGCAGAACACAAATAAATAGTGTTCTTACATATCAGTTTTAGAGTGTCCCAGAAGGACATAAGAGCACAAGAAAAAAAAGATTGATTGTACCATTAAAAATAGTCTATAATCACAGTACAACTGTGGGGAAAGGAAATTACTGAAGCATAGTTCAGGTAATTTTGAAAAAGTGATGCTAATAGATAGCAGAGGTTGAACATATTCTGACTTAGGAAATGAAAGAAAATAATGGACAAAGGAAGACAATAGCAATAATATCTACCACTTATTGGGTTCTGACTTTACATCAAAACTATAGTCAGTGCATCTCAACTGCAGGAGAATCCACTTATCAAGTGTTTAATAAATGCCACTTTATCCATAGGATAACTTTTTGAGGTATTATTTGCCCAGTTGTGTAACTGAGAAAACTGACACAGAGTTTCATCAACTTGCACAGATCATGTAAGCTTGAAAATATTAAATAAGATTCAAAAGCCAAGATAGGCTGGCTCCAGAGACTACGCTGTGTAACAGTCTTTCCATTCTATTTTCATCTAACTACTAACCTTCCTTTCGGCCCCGTTGAGGCAGGAGTCCCTAACCCCCTGGGCCATGGGCTGGTACTGGTCTGTGGGCTGTTAAGAACTGGGCTGCACAGCAGGAGGTAAGAAGCAAGGGAAGCTTCATCTGTATTAATAGCCACTCCCAATTGCTCTCATTACTGCCTAAGTTCCACCTCCTGCCAAATCAGGGATGTCTTTAAATTCTCACAGGGGCGTGAACACTATTGTGAACTGCGTATGTGAGGGATCTAGGTTGCATGCTCCTTATGAGACCTTTTTTTATTTTTATTTTTTTGAGAGTTTTGTTCTGTCACCGAGGCTGGAGTGCAGTGGCGCGATCCCGGCTCACTGCAACCTCTGCCTCCTGCGTTCAAGAGATTCTCCTGATTCAGCCTTCTGAGTAGCTGGGATACAGGCGCCCCCAATGCACCTGGCTAATTTTTGTATTTTAGTAGATACGGGGCTTAACTATATAGGTCAAGCTGGCTATGAGATTCATACCTGATAATCTGTCATTGTCTCTCATCACCCCTAGACGGAACCATCTAGTTGCAGGAAAACAAGCTTAGGACTCCCACTGATTCTACATTATAGTGATTTGTATAATTAGCTCATTATATATTACCATGCAATAATAATAGAAATAAAGTGCACACTAAATGTAATGTGCTTGAATCATGCCAAAACCATCCCCCACCCAACCTGGTCCATGAAAAGATTGTCTTACATGAAATCAGTCCCTGGTGCAAAAAAGGTTGGGGACTGCTGAGTTAGGGTATGTCTTATTCCATTTTAAAGATGGGCAAATGGAGGTAGAAACTTAAGTAAATTGCCAAAGGTTACTTGTGAGCATCAAGATTAAAACTGGTTCAGTCTGTTTCCAGAACCTATGTACTTTCCACTCTATTATTCTGCTTTTGTGGCAATATTTTTTATTCTTCAGTTATTCATTCATTTGGTCATTTGTTTAACAAATGTTTATTGAGCACTCTGTGCAGTATTCTGGCTCTGGGGATACTCTTATGAACAAAAAAGGCAAAGTTCCAAAGATTACATTCTAGTGGAGGGACATAAAAAATAAACAAATAAACTCATAAATGTATGCCAAGTGTTAATAGGCTCAAAAAAGAAAAATAAAACACTGAAATAGCTAGAAAGTTATAGGATAAAGGCATATTTAAATTTTTCAGATAAGATGGTCAATGCGAGGAAGCATGTAACTGTCACTGGTCTTTTATGAAGCTGTTGCTTTCTATTGCAAGTATCTTGATTGCTTAGCTTATATAACATTAAAACTCAATCTTGGTTTCATATGACTCTTCTGGTTTCTGGAAGAATATGCTTGATTTAAAACCTACTATGTCATTGCAGAAATGGTTGTATACTGGTTTTACTTTGTAACTCTTGAATGCTTATTTGAAGAGACAAAATTGATGACTGTTTTCTTTCTGAGCATTTATCCAAAATACCCAGCTTAATAAGGTGAACAAACGTTTGGGCTGATTTGGAGAGTATGCCTTGCCAACAGTTAAGTAAAAGGATATTCTCTTTGTCATTAACATTTCATGTGGAATATTAGTTCTTAGAGGCAATCTAATAATACAAGTGGTAGTGATATCAGGAACTAATTGACTTACTTTAATTGAAGGACACTTATATTACAAAGTATATAATGGTAAGATGTGTTCAACTTGTTTTTCACTTGTCTTTAAAAAGCTGATAACTTTCTTCCCAATAGTAATTAAAAATAAACAGCAGTCATTAACTTACTGTGGGCTTCTAATAGCCACAATTTTGCTTCATTGCATGAATGATTTACTGATCTAAAGTAAAGTAGTTCAGCACTGAAATTATCTTGAAAATGAAAAACCATCCTAGATAATGAATAGTTTAAGTTTCTGTAGCACCAATTTATGTTTTGTTTTTCTTTTTCATGTATTCTTCTGCACATACACAACTTGCTAGCTAATGAAAATAGTCTCATAGGGACACCAGCTCAAAAAACCGTGTCCCAAGCTCAGTTTCTGAACTCTACAGCCTTGGAGGCGACATTTATTCATTCCTTCATTCAGCCAACATTTACAGAGAAAGTTCTTTAGGCCAGGCATTTCCCTGAACTTTTTAGGGGATAAAAGAAAAAAAAAAAAAAAAAAAAAAAAAAAAAAAAAAAAAAAAAAGTCTCTGCCCTCAGAAGAACTTCTTATTATGGGATTAGGATTATATTTATTTATTTATTATTTATTTATTTATTTATTTATTTGAGACAGAGTTTCACTCTTGTTACCCAGGCTGGAGTGCAATGGCGCAATCTTGGCTCACCATAACCTCCGCCTCCTGGGTTCAGGCAATTATCCTGCCTCAACCTCCTGAGTAGCTGGGATTACAGGCATGCGCCACCATGCCCAGCTAATGTTTTGTATTTTTTTTAGTAGAGACTAGGTTTCACCATGTTGACCAGGATGGTCTCGATCTCTTGACCTCGTGATCCACCCACCTCGGACTCCCAAAGTGCTGGGATTACAGGCTTGAGCCACCGCGCCCGGCAGGATTATATTTTATTGTAAGCCCATCTTTTATTTAGTTGGTTGCATCATAATTTATTGAACCAATTCTGTGTTGTTGAATGTTTAGGTAAATTAATTTTTTTTGCCATAAAAAGCCTTGTTTGAACATCCTGGTAATGAATAAATTTGTCTGTATTTCTGATTTTATTTTTTGAACGGATTTCTGCAAGTAGAATAACTAAGTCAAAAGGCACACACATTTTGGTATCTTAAAAATGCACCAAAAATTGGCCTAAAATGGAAATATAGACAAAAACATTATACCTTTCTACATTGCTACCAAAACTGTGTGAGGTAGCCTTTTCTTAGTCCATTTCCTTGCCAGCATTAAAAATAAAGAATATTTTGCTATATGTGTATCACTGATCTTTAGTCTTCACAGTTGTTAAAAATTTTTCATTTTTAGGACTAATTTAGTGCTGGGCAAAAATTTTCAAATGATATTGATATTTTTTGTCTAACAAGAAGTTATTTGGATTATTTTATTTCATTTTATTTCTTACTTACATTGAAATTCAGAGTTTTAAGAGTTTATGAAAAGTGTTGCCCACTGGTTTGAGAAGTTCGATAGAAAAAAATGCAGATTGTAGTTGTGCATGAATCAGTTGGAAGAGTTGAATATTGACTTAAAAGCAAATGTTAAAACACAAATAGATCTGTATTTTGTTAGGGCTTACTGAATTTCATAAATACCTATTTAGAATATTGTTGAGTTATATTAAATAACAACACATTATATTTGGTGCCAATACATTTTATCTAAGCACAAAATTCTTACCTATAGAAATATAAAAAGACAAAAACTCCTGTGGCTCAATTCAAAGGGCTCTAACCACATCTTCCTTAAAAATGAAATTATGGAGAAGCTTCACGGTTAACCTGTATATAACATCTATATAACACTTTCGCTCTTCCTGAGTTTGTATGCTCAGCTGTTTGATCTCTTTTCTACTCATATCTCAATGGTTACACTGTTTATTTCTAGAACCATAGGACACAAAAACCGGTATGTGAAAGTCCCCCGTGGTCACATCTGGGTTGAAGGTGATCATCATGGACACAGTTTTGACAGTAATTCTTTTGGGCCGGTGAGTCATCTTTTATGTTCTTGTTGATACAATTGGATTTCAAAGGTGGGAACAAAAGTATGTCAGATAGATTGTTCAGGTAACTCAGCCAAGAGTGATCATGAATTTTATAGTGGAATAGTTTATATTTGAAAATTTCCTTTTAAGTATCATAAGTAAGGTACACTATCCGGGTGTGTGTATATGTATGTGTATGCGCACGTGTGTTTCATGGAAAAGAACTCAGACACCACAACAAAGTACCAAAAGATGTGTTTGGCCAACTAGCTTATTCTAAATTTGAAGACCTTTTTTTTCTTCCATGGGAATACTTTGTAGCCTATATTTTCAGTTGACATTTAGCAGACATAATGTGTACAAGACCTATGGGCATTAATTTTCTAAATCGTTAGTTTAAAATGCAAGTGTAATGGAAATCATACTGGTAAGTATACAAGAAGCAAAACTTTACCTCTACCCTCTTAGGGTCCCAGCTGGGCCTGAGACTTAAATTGCCATAAGACAGAGTCACAAGAGAAAAGCAAACAAGTTTAAGTTTTAGGTGGTACAGGAGCCCTCATAAAGAAATGAAGGCACAAAATTGGAAAAACGAACATACTTTTATGTTAGATTGAACAGAGACCTAATTGTGGAAAAGTAACTAAATTATGTGGTGAGGCTAAAGGAAGATAATGATTTTAATACATTTTAGCAAGGTCTGTTTGTATAGAATCCCCTGCCATCACTCCCCATGGAAGAATGTTTTTTTAATCCTGGTACAGGGAGGACATTTTTCACATGAAAAATTGTGTCTCCTGCTTTCAGGAAGAAAAGGGGAAGATTAGAATGCCCCTCTTGCATCTGCTGTTTGTCAAGCGCCTTTAGCTTAAAGTAATCCTTATGTCAAAGTAGCATATTTTGGAATGGCATAATCTGTCACCCTTCCTAAGTAGGATGTTACAAGCACTGAGTTTATAGTAGAAATGCAGACATTCTTTATTCCATGCTTGTACTCCATCAAACATGGGACTAAACTGGTATTTTGTGAGTTTTTTCATGTTGAATGTATATAGAAATTCTTTATTTATGAATCCCTGCAATATAGCTCATAATATAAAGTGAAGGATCTTTTAGTTAACTGGCAGTACGCTTGTTTCTCATTAACTAGTCTGCTTAAAAGCTGGGATCTCCACTCATTAGATTTTCCTAAAGCTAGGCATATCTATACTTGTTACGTATACAAGGTTACCATCCCTAATCCAACAGTCTGAAATCTGAAATGCCCCAAAATTCTAAGCTTACTGAGCACCAACATGATGCTCAAAGGAAACGTTCATTGGATCATTTTGGATCCAAATTTTGGGATTAGGGATGCTCATCCAGTCAGTATAATGCGAATATTTCAAAATAAATCAAAAATTGGAAGTACTTCTGGTTTTAAGCATTTTGGATAAGGGATATTCAACTTGTGTAAGTCAATATTGAATACCTTTAAATATGTTTGTGGAAAACATTTTATTCATATAGTTTTTTTTCTGAGATTTAATGTTGGTGGTATCTAATAAACCAATTTCTTTCACGTAGTATGGGGGACACTCCCGCAGTCACTAATGGAGCAGCCACTTTGACTCATCTTTGCCTGACAGTGCAATAATAGAGCTAGGGTTGGAAAAGCATGTATGGCTGTGCGGAAGAAAACTTTAGGAAACTACTCCTGCTTCGTTTTTTTTTTTCTAGTTGCAATATTGATAATAAATACTACTAAGGCCTTCTCTTGCCTTTGAATAAAAATTATTACAAAACTATCATCTAATTTTCATAAGGTATACTAAAGGTCAAATAAACAGATTGGAAATGTTTTAGGTCACTTACAGTGTAGAGTGACTCTTGTGACAAAATTTTGTAGCAACTCGAAAGTGAAAAAGATTACCTCTAAAAGCCATTTTCTGTCTCTCTCATCACAGATGCAATTGGGTATGAAATGTTTCCATTATGTATGATAGATATCTCTATGAAATATCTTTATGCTAACCCTCTTGAGTATATGATTATTGCACAATGATAGAAAATGTTTTATCTTCTCATGATATGGATTTGCTAATTTATGACTTTAGTTAGCATTTCTAGTGGGATAAATATCTTTCATAAGTTTCTTTTAAAATTGTAGTAATTATCTGGAAATAAAATCAAATTGCTACTTGATTTTACTGGATTATATAATAAGGACATGTGGTGATTCTGATGTGTTGCTTTATAAATGCTTAGAATGTTTTCTAAGCATTTCTCTCAGTAATTTCTTTGTGAAAGAAATTAGTGTCTTTTCTTTTATAACCCCTAGTTCTATGTAGATGAATATATATTCTGTTGTAGCCATGATGTTCTTCACCAGCACACAAAAATAACTGATTATTGTAGATATTGACAAATTTTCTGCTTGCTTTAAAATGTAAGCACATAGAAACTAAATTTTGTATTTGTATTTGTATGTGTGTATAGCTGTGACATTTCAAGTAGTGATTTTTAACTACTTCACATTGGCAGACTCTTCAATTAAAAATGCATGCAACAATTCTTTCTTTCATTTATTATAAATATTGTAATATTTATATTTGAACTGTTCTCCTAGGTAGTGTGTTCCATTTACTGCAAATACAAATGTAATTCTTTCCATGAGTTAGCTTCTCCATTTTCCATCTTCAAAGTTTTTCTATCATTTGTATCTAGCTTTAAATTGAGAGTAACTGAGATACTTGCACTGTTTCCTGCATAGTGATTTGTGAAATTCTAGTATCTAAAAATAAATGGAAAGTTATTTATTTATTTATTTAGCACCAGATGTAAATAATTTATTTTAGCTATATTGACCAAAGGACATTAGAAGAAAAACTTTTGACTTATACATTTCAAGGCAAGCATAACCTTTCTAAGATATATAAATGTATTTTGATTTTTAGGTTTGTGATCATAGTGTGACCTTGTGAACAATTTGTGTGCAGGGACTATGAAGCAGAACTGAATAATTCAGGCGCAGAAACTATTTATGACAGACTGCCTCTTTCTGAGAATGGAAACTTTGAGTTATACTAAATATGAGTTTTTTTTAGTTCCAAGTCATTTGGAAAAGAGCTAATTCAATCACTTATTTCATTGATACCTTATTAAATAAAATATGATCACCCTAGAGTGTTTTGTGAAGGAAATATGCCTAATAGGAGATGATAATTTTAGCAATAAATGAGCATTACAACTATTATTTATTAATGAAATGAACTGATGGTCTGAAAGTGATGATATATAAGTAAGTATGGAAAATGAAGGTTAAAACTCCATAGAATTCCTTTTGAAGTTTATGAAGTATAAAACATTTTTCACTTTTTAAAAACCAGTGGAAAGGAGAAAAAGTAAGGTTTATGTTTTTATATCGTGCAGAGCTTTTCCTTTATGCCTTCAAGACACATTTTTAAGCAGCTATGATTTGTCCATCTTGATTTTGGTTCGTGTATTCTGATGAGTGGGCTGGTCAAGAGAAATAAGAGTTATATTTAACCAGGCAGAGATTACTAGATTTGGTGACACGTGGGAAATGGACATTTTAAGCAGTGTAATGTCTAGTCATACCTGTTTTCATTTTTTCCCCTGTATAATGCTTCTTTGGTAAAAAACAAAATAATAGACTCTGGAGTTGCAGGAAGGATGAAAGATTTGGACTTTTTCTTTTAAGAGCATTTGACAAAGAGAGGAATTGGGACTGAGTTTTGGGAAATGCTTAAAATAGTTAGAGATTATAAGGGCAGAGATTCAGGTCATAGATAATAAGGAGTGCACTGAACCTATGAGCCTTCTGAATTTTTTTGCCACTATCACTAAGCATTAAAACATGGCTTGATGCCCAGAAGAAGCAGGTAAGAGGGTCAATAGATAACAATCATCACTAAGGCATAATCCTTACTCTCAAGGAAGAAGACAATTAGGCCTTCACAACGCAGTGTGGCAAATACTCTAGGTGGAGGTATGACAGAGCCTCTTAGAGAAGTAGAGTATTTGTGTATTAAAACCCTTGAAATCTCCCAGGAGGATTTGGTAGACCAGAGTGTTCTGAAATTAGTAGAAGTAACTATTTGGTAAAATCTTGCATTACATAAAGCACTCTAGATGCTGTATGTTTTGTGAATGAAGTAATTTATGCCTGAAGTGGTTAATGGGTTTCAGCTGCATTGAAAGTATTCTGCTTATACAATACAGAATAATCTCGTGAAACATGAGAATGAATTTTCATTGCATTTATTTATTGTTGAATTGTAGCATTTTCCTTGTGTAGCTTCTCTAGAACAGCTAGAATAGCATTTATTTAAAATCAGTCATTTCAAATAGAAAAAGGTCATCTGACAGGATCCAGATGAAGTACTGTCTTCACATTTTCTTTGAAAAATTGGTGCTTAGACTTTAATTGGTTATATTTTCTTGTTGTCTTATAGTACATGCTTGTTCATTAGACAATTTTGACAGGAACTAAAATAATCTATATTTTATAGAAAAATACTTGTACCTATAGTTATATAGTTTTTGTTAATAAGTCATAAAGCCTTACCTTGTGGTTTTTTGTCAAATGTTCCTCATGGTTCCCATAAATAGCACTGGAACCTGGCAACCTCACATGTTTTACCAAGATACAATTTTCATTTGACTGGTATAGACAAAGGCATACATTTCAAAAAAGATCAAAACCACTTAAAGAAGATACCAGTATAATAAAAATATTTGTATAGCCAAAGGTAACTAAGTCTCAGAAGAGAGCCCATATTCAGAAGCTGTGTTCAAAATCAAGAAATGTCCATGCAGTAAAATGAAACAAAAAGTCCCTCAGGATTGACTTCACCATTTGTTGGATTTGTTGTGTAATTAGGACGTCAAAAAATATATGTGATTTTAAGAAAAAAGCTTGGAAACATAATATGGTGGTGAGGCAAATAATATCACCCCTCTCCCCAAGAGAAGAGGCTTCCATTTCTACCGTATCAAAT